AAAAAAAAAGGCAAATTCAGAAGCAACAAGCAAAAGCAATCACTCGGACAACGTACTCTTCAGCTCACCACTCTCGCGCAATTCCATCACGATATCACAGCCCCCAACTAACTCCCCTTTGTAGTACAACTGAGGGAAAGTGGGCCAATTTGAGTACGTCTTGAGCCCTTGCCTCACCTCCTCGTCCCCCAGAATATCAAACGAACCAAACTCTACTCCCTCTTCCTTCAAAGCACCCACCACCTTCGAGCTGAACCCACACCTGGGCGCATCCGGGCTACCCTTCATGAACAACATCACTTTTGACGAATTTACCAACTTTTTCAACCGATCCTCGAGAGTCTCCCCAAAAGGAATCCCCTTCTCCCCCAAAACCTTCCTTAGCTCCCCACTCTTCTGCATCTCGAGCACAATGTCCGACCCGCCCACGAGCTCCCCCTTTATGTAGAGCTGAGGGTAGCTCGACCAGTTGGAATACACTTTCAGCCCCTGACGGACTTCATCATCTGAAAGGATGTCAAAGCTCTCAAACATGACTTTCTCCTGTCTAAGTATGTCGACCACCTTCCGGCTGAACCCACACCGGGGCTCGTCGGGCTTTCCCTTCATGAATAGCATGACTGGGGCCGAATCGATCAGCCCGCGTATACGGGCGCTGAGAGCTGCGCTCAGGCCCGAAGGCTCAGAAATTCCGCCCTTCCCACTCTCGGGTTTGGGCCCGTCCGAATTATTTGCTTGAATTCCCTGGTCCCGGAAGATATCCCTGAGCTCCCCGTTCTGGTGCATCGCGATCACTATGTCACAGCCACCAAGCAGGTCCCCGTTGCAGTAGAGCTGGGGGAATGTGGGCCAGTTTGAGAATTTCTTGAGCCCCTCACGGACCTCATTATCTGTCAGGATATCAAAGCTTCCAAATGGAACATTCTCTTTCTTCAGTATATCAACTACTTTCTGGCTGAACCCGCACTTGGGGGCCGCTGGGCTGCCTTTCATGAAGAGCATAACTGGTTGAGAGGTGACTAGCTTCTGAAGTCTCTCTGTCAGGACATTATTATCTGCATTGGGGGAAGCAGGTTGGATGCTTTTCTGAGATGCACCATTTTCTTGTGCCAAGTGTTGAACAGTCTCGAGAATTGTGGGGCCGGCGGCCATCCCAAGGCTAGCGGGGGCTGCGGGTTCTCCGGGCCTGATTGACCCTGCAACTTTAGCAACCTTGTTGGCCAGACTGGATGGGTTCGCACCTTCCAGTGTATCAACCATCATGCCATTCTGGTAGGGCCAAAAAGATATAAATGTTCAATAGCCTTCTAGAATTACCGTTAACAAAAATCTAGAAATTAGGGGCAGGAAGGGCAGACGTGTAAAATCTGAACCAGAACGGACTTTCAAAAAAAGGGTCATTTTTTTAAAGGCATTCGATAGTTTAATTGGAATTTCAGAGTTGGTAGTTAAGGAAAAGACGGGACAAAATCAATCATAATCATAGTAAAAAAAATGAGAAAGAAAAACTAATTTTTTCAGGTTTCATTTAATGACATATATATATACTAATGACAAATTTTGTACCTTGAAAAATACAAAGAAGGGCACAGCAGAAACCGAGTATTTCTCAGAAATTTCAGGTTGTTCTTCAGCCTCTACCTGTAATATTACAAAAACTATAATCTCAAAAAGGCACCATATAGAGAGACTTCTCTTCCAGGCAGCTTTAAAAAGGGCGCGGCAAGTTAGGGTCAAACAAATATCACAATTCACAAAGTAACGGAAGTAATAATGCAAAAGTGGCAATACAATTAAGGACATCAAAGCTTAAGTACAAGGATAATGAAATTAAACTCAAAGCTCAGGTGGAGTTTCTGCTTCCAGATTGAAGCACAAAAACAATCACTATGGCAAAGGATTATGTATACACACAATAGCAACTTTGATTTCCCATACTCGGTAAACGGCATCCCCCATAAACCATTCATTCCTTAACTTTTAGCAGAACAGTTACCTCAGGAAAGCTGATCATTTTCCTGTAAAGATTTTAGGCTTCGACTTTCAGACCCTCACAAATGCGATGAAGACACTCTTGATATATAAGATAGGCACACAAGACACCTCATTATCTCACTCATCCCTCATTACTTTTACAAGCATCCAATTCAATTATCCACTGCTCTATCTTCTTCTGAACTGATCTAATGGACTTTTCTATAAAAAAGTAATCAAAACGCAAAGTTGCTTCATGAAAAACGTGGTTTGATCCAAAATAAAACCTTTAACACATTCTGTTCCATCCACAAATTTTCAATCGAAAACCATAAATCCCTTTTTGTTCCACCCTCTTTCAAATTTAGAACCCTAACAGCCGAAATCGGCAGTTACAACAAGCGTACGTACACAAACACATCAAAATAAACAAACAAATAAAATAAACCCTAAGACTATCGCATAGTCATATCTTGATATACCAAAACCCTCGAACAAAAAATTCATGAATCGTTTCAATTCAGAAGCAGGAGGAGAAAGAGCAATACAAGTGGAGGATAGAGCAATATACATGGAGTAAGGAGCAGAATTGAGGAGAAAGCGTACCCTAAGAAAGCGAGCGAGAGGAAAATCTGTGGAGAGATGCGAGAACACTTGATCCATGTGCTTGGAGGCATCGCACCACGAAGCCCAGAAGTGCAGAATCACCGGGACACCTTCGCGGACGGTGTTGTCGAGTTCCGCCATGGATTTCACCTCCTTCACCGATCCTCCGCCGGGCACAGCCATGCTGTCTAGAAGATTCTGCGAGGTAGCGTGGCTCGAGCACGGATTTATTCTGTGGGTTTTGGTACAAAATGACAAATGCAAGATTGGGGACCTCCAACGCTTTCATATAGTAGCGTTTTTTTCAATCCTATACATTTTTTATTGTTATTATTGATATAAAATATTGGAATTCTCCAATATTCTTACCCAGACGTGGCCTAACTCCGGTTCAGATCTGGATGATCAAGTTCAGGCCGAACCGGTGGGTTGGTGTTTTTTTCTTCAGAATGGAGGAAAAGTAAAAAAAAAAAATTGACTTGGATTTAGTTGACATATTATAAATTAAAATATAAATATAAATTAAGTTGAAAGTTTTTTACTAAAACATTATTTTAATTTATAATATGCCAGTGAAGTTGTCTGCTTATTTTTTGCATTTGAAATCAAGAAATAAAATGGCATGATATGTGGAACCATCTAGTAATCATTGACGTATTCATACTTGTCTTCGGTTGTTGCGCAAATTCCACTAGTACTAATAAAATCATCCGGCTCTTCGTCATCCTATTGAGTAGTTAGCATTATCATTTTGTGTTTTTCGTTCGACCTTCTTCCAATCATTCAACATCATTTGAGCGTCTAAGTTTTATGGTGTCAACCTCGGCATGTGTATAGTGTATATCTTTCCTCGCGAAATGCTTGTTCAACCGCAACAATTGAGGTCGGGATATAAAGAATCTTCTTGACCATCAAACATGGAATATAATAAGTGGTCTTCATTTTTTTTATCACCAATCTAGGACATCGAATGTGAGTGGCGAAACCGGTGGTCTAGCAATCGTAATTCTGAGATCTGGGACTAAGAAGTGATCGAGATCATTAAATCCGTCCCCATATTTTTTGAAATTTTAACATTTTTGTAGAGATTAAAATTTGAAGTTAACTCAACAACGTTTTTGTCTACCGGTGTCTCGGTTAGAATAAGAATAATAAGAAGAAGTAAAGATGACCCAAAGATTATATAACCCAGTCGGGCGTGACAAGTACACTTTAATATATATACACACACATACATTAAAGTTATATATGTATATATTTTAAAAGATATGTTTGTGTATTTATATTTAATTATATATATTAGTTATTACTTAAAAAATATAAAATAAGATGGTTATTAGTGCATTACTATTTTGCCACTGAAAATATGTCAAAATAATTTATTTTTTTAGTAGTTCATTTTTTTACAAAATCACTTGTCTTTTTTAAGTAATAATATAATATAGATATCTTTAAAGTAATAATATAGATATAGACAGAATAAAGATGTATAAATTTGTCATCAAGAGCATTACACTGATCAAAGAATTACAATTTATGTTAACGGGAAAGAAAGATCGAATCTTAATTACTAGAAAAAAATGTTAGGCAATCATATACATTCATAAAAGAGAGATAAATACATCGTGTTCTTCAAAATTCAATTAAAAAAACTCTCCTCTGTTGTTAGTTCAATTCAAGTTGCATTCACTTGATGTAGGCAATCGTACATCCATAGTTTGTCAGGCTTTCCTGCTCAAAGTTTGCAATGCGCGGATGTTTTCTAAGTCGTTCGAGTACATACTCCCTCAAGACGCCAGTGCCTGTCCCGTGTATAATGAAGACAACGGATTTGGAGCCTCGCAACTTTATGGCCATGTCGAGTTTGACAGCAGCTTCCTCAACTCGCATTCCCCTTAAATCCACCGTGTTTTTAGACGTTCGGACAACAACACCATCGGAAACCTCGTTCTCGTTTATAATTTCCGAAAGATTCTTGAGTCCTTTGACCCGTTGTTGGCCCTACAGTTTAAAATAGGATATTCATATGTTGAGGATTAAGACTATGTTTGGTAGCCAAATAAACTAACTTATAGTTTATTTGGTTAGCTTGTAAATTTCATGTAGTCAAATAAACTTCGTTTAGTAGGACGAACTTTTTTAAAAAAACTCAAGTTTATCTCATAAGCTTATAAATTGAGTAGTTTTTCAAATAAGTTCGTTTAAATTTTTATTTCATCTCAGCTAATTTTACTTTTATCATATAAGCTAGTTTTTCAGATATAATTCATAAACTATAAGCTAAAAAATCACTTATAAGCTAGTTTTACCAAATAAACTAATAGTTAATTTGAATTATACAAAAGAACAAATAAAACGAAGAAAAATATTACCTAAGCTAGCAAGTTAAGGTTACTAAGATAAACATACCTGTCTTTTTGAGCGTGAAACTGAGGATGAGACACGATTATCACCATTGAGAGGACTTATACCACTTGCACTCACACGGGCTCTGATTTTACCATATTGGACAAGGACCGTCTTGTCGTCAGACGGTGCTTCAACTACAGTGGCCACCTTATTTCCTAAACCTTTTACAAGGACTTGCTCCCCAATTCGTGGAATGTAGAAACTATTTCTTTTATCGACGGGAAGATTTTCAGAAAGCTGATGAGCTTTAACAACAGATGCTATGACAGATTCTGATTCGTTCAAAAGTTTACCATAGTCATCGGGGTTCGTATTTCTCAGCTGTTTCTCGAATTCTTGCACTATAGTATCGATCTTGGCCTTCACAGCCTTGAGTTGCTGTTGCACTTGTTGGGTTTCTTTAGTTTTCAGAGCCGCTTCGCGGGCATCAAGATCATCTGCCTCGTCACCGATCTTCAAATAACATTTAACATGAGGCACATTGAAAAACTGAGATGTCAACATCAACGAACTATAACATTCGACGATCAACAGAGATAATGGCTGGTTGAAATTAAATTCTAGAAGCAGAGTTTATACAGAAAAAAGATTGTAAGAGTAACATCCCAATAAAATTTGGTAAATCGGACCTCATTATAAAGCTTCAGTACATCTGAATGAAGAGACGTAGCTCTTTCTGCCTGAGCCACGAGTTTATTTCTCTCTTCAACAAGAGACTGATACAGCGAACTATTGAGTTTCTGCATCTTTTCTGGCGTGAGCTTTTTCACCCAAGATTTTGCCCGCTCGATTATGTTTTCATCAAAGCCGATTGTTTTTGCAATAGTCAATGCATTTGATCCGCCCATGCTTCCCCATAGGATCCGATATGTTGGCTGTAGGCTCTCCATGGAGAACTCCATAGCCGCGTTCTCAAACCGTGCATCTTTCTCTTTTAATAAGTTTAAATCAGCATAATGGGTTGTCACAACAGCCAGATTTACTTTGTCTTTGATATATTGCAATATGCTGGCTGAGAGAGCCACGCCTTCTGCAGGATCAGTCCCGCTTCCAATCTCATCAAGGAGGACAAGAGATCTTTCAGAAGCCACTTTGAGGATTTTGTTAATTCGTGATATGTGGCCGCTAAAAGTTGAGAGGCTCTGCTCTAGAGACTTTAATTGGACACACACGCACACACAAAAAAAAACAAACAAACATTTCAATAAGTGTTCTGTATTACAAAGGACAACGGAAGTAATAGAACTGATTACCTGCTGGTCGCCAATATCTGCAAGAACAAGATCGAACCACGGAATTCTTGGATTGCTTTGTGCAGGTAAGTACATTCCAGCTTTCAACATTATAGAAGCCAGCCCTAGAGTTTTCATTGATGCGGTTTTACCTCCTGTATTGGGTCCTGAAATCACAATCACCTTTACCCCATTTCCAATTCTGAAGTCAACGGGGACGGGAAAACCCAAGGCAAGGGGGACTATATCCGAATGACATGCACTCCTTGAAGTGGAAAGAACGGAAGTTTTTTTAAGTGAAGACTCGAGAAGCAAAGGATGCTGCATACCATTTACATGCACCAAAAACGAATTATACTCACAATTTTCATTGTCGGAACTGAAATTTGGACAGACTCCATTAATCCATCGAGCATGACCAGCTCTTGCAAAAGCAAGATCCACTTCCACTACTCTATCTAATAAATACTTGATTTGCTCACTAAATTCCGCAATCTCAGCACTAAGAAGGCTTAGTATGGTTAGCTCCTCCATCTTTTCAGCATTCGATAGCCTCACTTCATTATTATTCAAGTCAACTGCCTCACGTGGTTCCATATAATAAGTTGCTCCAGAGCCGCTGGAGCCCAATACTATTCCTCTAGGAAGCAAATATCTATGTGTAGTCCTGATTGCCACACACATTCTTGATCTCCTTTTGGTAATCAGAGGTCTGTCAATCCCACCAGCGCGGAAAATTTTACTCGATATATCCTTCAGCATCGACTCAAGATTTTCCATGTTAGTTTTCTTCTCAGACCTAATTGATTCCAATTCTTCACTAGCTCGGGTCAGGACTAACGAGTACTTACAGTCTACACAGAATTCTATTTTTTGCTCCAACTTTGTCAGGAAATCACACTTCTGAAGAATTTCGAGCAGTGGGGAGTACCTGATTGGATACAAAAAAGACATATAATCCAGCTAATCAATCACTTGCTAACTGAGAAAAAGTATTTATTTAATGCTCTGATGGAAATCATCACACCCCAATTTGTTTATTTTCTACACACACCTCTCGTATGAATGACCCTCGGATGATATCTCTTCCAACTGCTCAATCAATGATCTAGCCGACCTAAGCGTCTTACTCACAGAACAAAGCTCACTGATCGATAGCATCCCACCGGAAACGGCCGCATCCACAATCGGAGAGACGTCTTCGATTCCGGAGAAGTCCAATGGCTGGGGGACTGCCACGGCCGCGGAGGTCTGGTCCAGGAGACGGCGTGTCTCTCCCGGACTTCGGCCCAACGGGATGCGTGCCGAACGCGCTGCCGCGAGGCCCATGGAGGTGGAAGAGAAGGCGGAGAGCTGGGTGCAGACGGACGGCCATTCGAGGATTTTGAGGGTCTCGGACTGGAGTGACTCGGCGAGTTTGACTCGTTCGGTCTCCGGCTCAGCAGATAGGGCAACGCGGGACGTGGCGGCGGTGGGGCGGGACAGTTTCAGATGCGGCCGCGGCGGTGGGTTCCAGGTGAGGAGGCTGCGGCCGAGTATCATGGGAGGACAGCCGGAGGATTTTGAAGTCCTCTTCTCCTATCCAGAATTAAAAGCAGTGAAATAAATAAATAAATAAATAAATGGTGGGAAAACTGAAGGTGCTTTGGACTATTTATGGGTCTTGCTAAGGCCCATCTGTGAAAGGATTGACGTTTGAGCAAAATATTGGCCCAACGAGCTCGTGGATGCTTTGTTGTTGATAGAGGAAATTATTAGACTTGTCAAAACGAGCCAGCGGGGTGGGCACGCAGCCCGTCAAAACCAACCTTTTGGCCGGGTGGGACGGGTCGGCCCGGCATTTTGGCGGGTCTTCAAAATAGCTAATTTCGCAGGCTCTTTCACCATTTACGTACACAGGGTTTCACTACGTTTGAAATAAAAAGTTATTTGAGATTAATAATAGTTAATTTTTTTTAAGATTTGCTAAAATCATATGAAAAAAATTCTAACTCCAAATCCAAAAATCTTAAAAAATTACAAACCTCACAAAACGTAGCTAAGGGGGTGTATTTAATTAGTAGTTTTAATGACTTTTAGGGCATGTTTGTTAATGAAATAATTTATGAGTTATTTTGATTAATTAGAGTCAAATATGAAAAAAATAGTATAATTAGTTGTTAGTGGGATTCTAATAATGTATTAAAAAATAATTTTATTGATTTGATGTAAAAGTAAGAAATAAAAAAATAGAAATGATAGGTAGTTAAAATTATGTGAGTAATAAATAATGAATTAAAGTTGATGTGATATGTAAGAATAATTAGTTTATAATATTTAATTATATAAATAATATAAAGAGTAGTGGGGTTGAGTTAAAGTTGAATTAGATTTTGTGTATGAAATAGATGTGAGCAAATTATTTCATAAACAAGCATGCCCTAAGTTTTAGAAATCCTAGGTATTCAAATTAAATTTGTTAAGCCTTTTTAAGATTCTTAAAAGTCTTGAGATATTTAATCGAGATTTGAACGTTTTAACAAAATCTTGATGCATTCAATTTAATTGAGAATAAGATTTGTTATGACGTTTTAAAATTTGGTAGAGTTTTTAAAAAATCCTACTTCAAATCATAATTTCAAACTCAGAATTTCACGTAATTTCTCAAACATATGAAATCTTAACAAATCTCGAATCTTAAAAAATAACTTGAAATCTACACCTCATCCAAATTTCAAATAATAGTCAATTGGGCATATGTGAGAATACTGATTTGCGTGCCTCCGCCGCTTCACTCAAACACTGTCATTCCTTTCATTTCATTTCACCATTTTTTTTGTTGGGACACGTCGAGAGAGGGGAAACAATCCATCACTCAAGATTCTGCGGCTAAGGGAGAGAGAGAGAGAGAGAGAGAGAGAGAGAGAGAGAGAGAGAGAGAGAGAGACGCACGTCCATCAATCCCGAAATTTCTGTACACAGCAGTGAAGCATCGGCCAGGGTTCGGCGACGCACGCCCTTAGAGCTTCGATTATTTTGGCGGACTAAATCCGATTCTGGTAATTCGTGAAATTTATTCATGACGATGTGAAGAAATTCATCTTTATTCGTTGTATTTGAAAGCCAGCAATCTTGAAGGAAGATTTCTTTGCTGTTTTCATTATAGCTCATCCTTTTCGCCATGGAATTTGGGACTAAGTAGTTTCAATGTTAATGGGTTAGTCTGAAGGTGTAGTTTTATGACGGCAAGATTTCAAAATGGCCTTTTTTACATGCTTTTTCAGCAGAGTTCTTGTTATTCCTTCGAATGTACTTCAAATTTGCTAATTCAAGCTTTTCAGAGAGAAAGCTATAGTTCTCATTTCTACAAATTGTATTGTGATTCTGGAATCTGGAACGATGGGATGTTTGTTTTAGATGTTTCGTATTTTTGTTGTGATTTTAAATGTGCCTGAGAGTTGTATTT